CACTATGTTGTCCAGGCTGGCCCCAAATTCCTGGGCTCAAATGACCCTCCTGCCTCAGCCTCCAATGTAGCTGGGACTGCAGGGCTGTGCCAGAAAGCTGGCTTCAGATGGTCTACTTTTTTAAATGATGTTGGAACAATTGCACATTCATAAGCCAAAAACAAAAAAAGAAAGAAAGAAAGAGAAGGAAAGGTGTGTGGGGGAGAAACCTCAGGGTAAACCTCCTACTTATTAAAAAAAAATTAACAGCAGCTGGGCTGTAGCTGGGTGGAGCGCTTGCCTTGCAAGTGTGGGTTCAATCCCAAGCACCACAAACAAACAAATAAGTTTATAATATTGAGTTAAGCAAAGCGTTGTCAGCTATGGCACCAAAAACATGATCCACAGAAGAAAAACAAATGGACCAATTTGACTTCAAATTTCCCAACTTTAAAACTAAGAACATAAGGGGAAAAAAACCCAAAATTAAAGTTTTTGAAAACTAAAAGACCAAAATTTTAAAACTTTTGCTGAGTGAAAGACATTATTAACAAATGGAAGAGAAAGCTTCCTAGGGCTGGCAGAGTGGCTCAAGTGGTAGAGCGCCTGCCTAGCAAGGGTGGTGCCCTAAGTTCAAACCCAAGTACCACCAGAAAAGAAAAAGAAATCTGCAAAAACCAGAGAAACTATATGCAAATCAATCAATCCTTAAAAGGTCTTCTATAAAGAGCATATCAAGAACTCTCAAAATTAAATAATAAGTCATCAAACAACCCAATTTAAAAAATGGAAGACTTGAGCAAACACTTCACCAAAAGATAGCAAGAGAGTGCACAAAAAGATGTCTAGTATCTTCCCCCAGGAGAGGAGGGACAGGGGAATAAGCACTTCTTGGAGAAGAGCTGGCAGCCCACCCCTCCCTGGCCCAGCTGTCACTCTGTCTCCATTCCTGCGGGGAGTTTGATGTCCAAACACTTCTCCAGGCAGGAGGCCCTGGGAAGCAGATCTTTGAGGAAGATCCTAGGACCCCTTCACTCCCAGGACTGTGAGTGGTGAGGCTGCCCCCAAAAGCATCTACCCCACTCCTTCCTGGTGCTGCCCCATCTGTGGGTGACTGAGATGGGGTGGGAAGGAAGTCACATTTGCCCCACGTGGTGAGAGGCCTGCGTCAGTGATGTCTCAAAGCTGTAGGTCTTTGTGTGGTCAACAGATGGTGACTCTTTCATTAATGTGTCATGTGGCTTATTCAGAGCCTAGGGATGCCTCAACTCTGTCCCTCCACACTCCTGTGTCCTCACCTAGCCTTCAAACCATGTGTCCATATTTGTTAGTCTATTTTTAGAGGCTAACGTGAGAGAAAAACGCAAGCTGGCTCCAAAGGGGAGGCTGGCCACGGAGGCACAGCTGAATGCAGAAGTGCCAACAATACTGTCCTGGCATCTTCTCCCTCTCCACCCCTCCCTTTCCTTTTAACAGTACAGACACACACACCATGGTGACAAAATGGCCACCCAACAGTTCCCACCTCATCCTCACAGAGCCACTTCTCTTCCCAACAACTCCAAGTAAAAATCCCAAATTTGAATCCAACTAGATTGACAACTTTCATGCACCCATCCCCGAACAACCACCATGGCTATAGAAATTTGATAATCCAATCGTCTGGGTAAGGGCAGGGCCCATCCCAATCCTAAACGGGGTAGATGGCAGCCCAGATCCCATGGCTTCACACCGGCAATAAAACAGCAATTAGCTGGACATGGTGACACCTACTTGTTGTGATCCCAGCATTTAGGAGACTGAGGCCAGCTTGGGCTACATAGTGAGACCCTGTCTCAAAAAAACACATTGCTCACTCAGCTTTCCAGTGTCTACTGGACATTTGGATGTTGCAAGCTCAAGAAAGCTTCTCCATCCTGGTCCTCCCCCACCCCATCTTCCTCATCTTGGTAAACATATCACCATTGTCCACCATGTTATCTTACATCCCACAATCCATCAGCAAGATCTGTCAGCTCTATCTCCAAACACTCACCTCAAACACACTTTTGTGTCTCCACCTCTACTGCCATCCCCTTGCCATCATCTTACTCATGACAGCACTACCATAACTTCCTAACTAGCCTCCCTTCTCCTCAAACTCCTATCAAACTCAGAAGCCAGACAGGTGTTTTTATTTTTTTGGTGGGACTGGGGTTTGAACTCAGGGTTTTGCACTCATAAAGCAGGCGCTCTACCCCTTGAGCCATACCGCCAATCCATTTTGCTCTGATTATATTGGAAACAGGATCTCACAAACTATTTACCTAGGCTGGCCGCAAATCTCAACCTTCCCGATCTCAGCCTCCCAAGTAGCTTGAATTAGACATGAGTCACCGGCTCCCAGCCTGGATAGTTACCTTTTTAATGTGACTAGCTCCAGTCACTTTGTTGTCAACCCTCATTGTTCTCCATTGCTTTTGAAAACAACCCCAGGAATTTCCTATGACCCCCAAGATCCCCCCCTCCTCAACTGACCTGTCCTCCACTGCTAACTCTCCCACCTTCCCATCATTTGACCTACCACACTAGTGGCCCTCTGTTGTCTTGCTTCTCGTTTTGGGGGCCTTTGCACAGGCTGCTCTAAGTGTGGTGATGCTCTTCTCCATCTTCCTGCCATCAGGTCTGCTTAACATCAGAGAACTTACAGAGCACCTGCTCCTGCCTTCTTACTGTGTCACCTCTTTTTAACACTAGTCATCTGGCTTTGTTAGGTGTCTGCCAGAGGATAAGCTTCCTAAATGCAGAAGCTTTTTCCTGTTCATTACTGTATCCCCATGGCCCAGACAGGAGCCAAGGCATCACTGGACCTCAAATTTTTGCTGAGCCAATGGACTGATGGATGGATAGACAATGGACATGCAGCAAGGAGAGGTGATAGTTTCCCAAGAAAAATTAGGGTTCCATTTCCAGAAGGAAGTAGAAATGAATACCTGGCAGACAAGACCACAGGTATCCAGGACAGATATTGCCACTATCCCCATGAAGTAGCCTCAGCCCTCCCCACACTGGGCTGCAGAAAGTCGAAGTTCAGGCTTCAGGATGGTCCCACCTTGGAAATCAAGCAGGTTGCCAGGCCCATCACTTTCACCTCCTGGATCCCAGCTTCTCTTTCAGAGTCAGGACTGGCAGAAGCTTCCCCAGGGTGGTAAGGGACTGGTGCCATGGGGAGCAGGGGGTGTCAGAGGTTCAGACCTTTCTCCTACGGTGGATGCTAACTGCTCATCTGACGCACCACCTCCTACGAGGTCTGAGGGTCTGCTTGTTCCATCCCCGACTCCCCCTGGATCAACAGTTTGAGACTACCCTCTACCAACATCCTCTCTCTGCCTGCTCAGGAGTGAGACAACAGTGCTGGCAGGAGGGAGAGGAAGTGATGCTCTAGATTGGGCCAGACACATGTGAGTTTTATTGCAGAAAGGAATTTTTCCATTTCACTAGCCTTTGCAACAACATGGCAGTCACTCCATGGAAAGGGAGTCTTCCCCTGGAATCTGGGCTGATGTGCCATTCACTTTGGCCAACAGAATGTGATGGAAATACTAGATCCAAGAGCTTGGGCCTCTAGATGGCCTGCATGTCTCTGCTCACTGTCCTGGAACCCTATCCAGACATGTGAACAAGCCTGGGCTAGCCATGAAGAAAGTCCAGCTCTCCCAGTCAAGGCCTTCAACTGGCCTACTGCCAACAAAGCCCCAAACACAGGTCCAAGTCAGCAGAGCCCCCAGCCCCCAACCACAAAAGCTCGGCTGAGACTAGAAGACCCATTCAGTTGACCTGTAGACCCAGGTACAGTAACTGCCTAGACCCTGAGTTTTAGGATAAGAGATGAGGGAACAGAGCTGAGAGCTGAGGATGCACTCACAGACCAGCCGATTTTGCCAAGGCAAGTGAAGAGGTCCAGGAAAAAGTTGAAGGCACCAGTTTTGCTGATACAGCTGCTACTCAAGAATCAACTGCAGCAATAAAGCCCCAACGTGCAGGGCTGAGAATGGGAGTCACAAGAGCAAATGTGAGTGTTCCTTCTCAAATTTTGTTCCTCCTGGGAACATACCAATGGGAAAGGGTTTGTGTGCTCAGGGACTTCCCTATGTCATTTATCACGTTCTTCAGGAGGCTGAGCTCAACTGAGGCCAGACATAATCTTACCATCTTCTGATCCCTAACAGAATTTCCAGCTTGACTCCTCCAGCTCCAGGAGCCAAATGTCAGTGAGAAGAAGGCCTGCCTCAAGAGCACAGGAGCAGGGAGGTGCCCTGTGGCTTCCTCCCCAGAGGGGACCACACCACCCCTTGAGAGGCTCAGCTGTCAGTCCCAGTTGTCTCACGGCTTTCCTTTTTCCCTGCTCATTTCTTCCACTGAGAGGAGGGAGCCTCACTGTGCTCCTGCGGTCCCATCAGCCTCTCCACTCCTTTGCTGCCTTCACCTCACAGCAGGAGTAAATTGCCTAATTGATGAAATTAGGAAAATTGAGGGTTCTTTTGACACATTCCACCAAGCAGGGTGCTTGCTGTGATGAGTGATGCAGCTTGGCTGTCATTCAGACCTAGGACAGAGTTCTTCCCAACTCTGACCTGGTCCCCAGGCAGTAGGCCTGTCCCCTCCAACTTCCTGACCTGGCCTGGTTGGGAAAGTGGGGTCATCATGACATACAGGCCCAACTGTCTTCAGTTCTGTCCTCACCCCCCAGCGGCAGCACTTCTACATAACTAGATGGCTGAGGGGTCAGCACCTTCTGACCCCCACCAGCCTAAAGCAGTGGGTGGGGAGCTAGCCTGATGAGGTCATGCAGAACACTCAGGGACCAGAAGCCAGAAGCCAGCTGAGGTCCCCACTCCAAGAACTCTGAAAAGGATAAAGGTCCTCAGGACAGAGGAGCACAGCTAAAAGCCTGTGGAGTCCTATACCTTCCCAGGCCTTGGTCAACTAACAGTGCTTGCTGCACTCCACCCTCGCTCTCCCAGAAGCTACAAGAGACAAGGCCCAAAAGCAGACACTTTTAATACAAAAAGTGGTACAGGGCCTGAGAAGGACTTAAATAAGGAGAGTGAGAGTGTCAGGAGCCAGCGACTGGGGGTCCAGGAACCCTGCGCAGTGGGATGATGCAGACTGAATTCCGAGCCTCTTTGATCCGCCACCAACGGCCAAGCCTGCAGGACAGGAGAAATAACTGAGACTGGCCCAGCCCCAACCCAGTCACCACCCTCATTCCCACATGCTGCCCAGTCAAGCCAGGGCCACCTTGCTGCTCAGGGATACCTGTGCTCCTGCCCAACTCCAGCCACCAAGAAGTCCCCAGCACTGGAGAACTTGAGGCTGTTGATAAAACCCATCTGAGGAGAGAGGGGAAAATGGTGAGCCACTAGAACACCCCTCCCCACCACATTTGCCAGTGTCATAGTCCAGGCTGGGGTTGGGGGGTTAACTCAGACTCCACAGTCGTGAGAAGAGGGAGGCAGAGCACCAGCCAGATGGGAGCTAGTGAGGACGGAGGAGACAGTACACGAAGAGTGCCAACAGCTTGGCCTGGGGCCTGGCTCCTGGCTGTGGGGTGCTCCTTCAGCAGCCCCAGAGAGGACATTCAATAACATACACCCCCGCCTGCCTCTCAAGCTGGCACTAGCTGTGCAAAAACCAATCACAATCCCAGGTCTCCACGCCTTTGACCATGCTGTTCCCTGTCTTGTACCCCACACCCAAGGCAGGGCCAAACACAGGAGGAGGAGCAGAGGAGAGGAGAAAAGAAGGGAGAGCTCCTGCCTCCCTTCTTTTCTCTGTGCCTACCCTGAGGAGACTCCCCCAAGCAGGAAGGGCATCAAAGAGCTCATTCCAGGGACCAGAAGAGCCAGGGGCCTCTGGAGAGTGACGAAGACCAGCTGAGCACTCAAGTCCCGCTTACCAAGGGGATGTCACAGAGAGGATCAAGTCTCCGGAAGCCCTCCCCACACTGCCAAAGCCGCACACAGGAGTTGTGGGAGCCTGGGAAAAGGCAGACAGTGAGCAACCCCTGCAGCAACCCTGAGACGCCCTCCTCCCTGCCTCACAGAGCACCCACCTGTGGCCACGAGGTCTGTGTTGAGCAGAGCTGCCACTGATGATACCCAGAAGGGCTGCTCCAAGCCCGGCTCCCCCTGCACCCCATGAGCTTCACGCTGCAGGGCAAGTGGCCGCTTCTTAGAGAGGCCCCACAAGGCCACAGAGCTGTGGATGGGAGGACAGTCAGTGAGGAGCCAGGGCAGCACAGAAAGGCACGCGGCAGGGCGGATCAAGTGCACACATGCCAGCTGTGGGATGTGGACGAAGTCATCAGTCCACAACAGCTTCCCTAAGGGGATTCCATGAGACAAGTTCGGGGCCTGGGGGGTAGAAAGCGCTCACATGGTGGTCAGGCATCAGAAAGGCAGCTCTTACCCATCGTCTGCGCCCGACACCATGTGCTCCTCATTGATCAGATGGATGCAGTCGATGGAGCCCCTGGAGAGAGGGGCTGTGAGGGCATGGCCCAACCCCCACCCCAGCCCAGAGCCCCCACCTGGCACAGCAGGCCACCTTACTGGTGGCCATAGAAGACAAGCTGGGACTCCTCGGGGATCTTCCACACACGTACAGTCCCGTCCCGGCCCCCGGCTGTCACACAGCACTCGCGGCTCAAGGCGTCCAGTGCAGCCACAGCATCCTGGTGCCCAAAGCTGGAGGGCAGCGCAGAGTAGGATGAGGGCCTCGAACACCCGCACCACACACCCGCACGCCCTCTGCCTGAGCACACTCACAGCGTCTCCACATAGGAGTTCTCCTCCACGTTCCACACCTTCACAGAGCGGTCATGTGACGTGCTGTAGAGCTGGTGAGTCCCTCTGCGGAACGCCAGACCCTAGGTGCATGGAGAGGTGAAAGGGGACTAGACTAGAGCAGGGGGGGACAGGGGTCAGCTCCCACAAGGGATCTGGCAGCATCTCCGTGAGGCCGGTGTAGAGCCAGGGTGGCTGCAGAGACAGACTTCTCAGGCTCCTCCCTGACCCCTCAGCCCAGTTATGTCCTTGACACACTACTCAGTACCCCAGAGTGCAGGTCCCCTGAGGAGGGAGACCCCCAGGGGCCTAGCACTGAGCCTGGCCCAGGTCCTCACCGACACAGCGTCGCGGTGTCCTGTGAAGGTGTACAGGTGCCAGCAGCTCTGGGCCTCCCAGATGAGAATGAGTTTGCTACAGTCACCAGAGGCCTGTGGGGATAAGGACGACGGCCACAGGCACATACCACACACCCAGACCTCCCACTGCCCCCAGGGCCAACCCAGCCTTACAAGGTACTTGCCATCGGAGGAGATGGCCATGCAGAGGATGTGACTGCTGTGGCCGGGTGGCTGCCCCTCGGCACCCTTCTTGGCTCGAGGAATCACATGCAGCTTCCGTCCACTCTCCACACTCCCTGCCACCCAGAAAGGAGAGAGGCTACTGGGATGAGGGGTAGGGCTGGCGGGCAACTCCCTTCAAGAGGCAGCATGGAAAAAGGGATCATGGAAAAAATCCTAGATTTGGGTCAGAGGACCTGGGTCAGCTACTGTTTGACTCTGGACAAGTCACCTCAGTCTCCTCATCTGTCAAATGGGTGCAATAGCCCCAAAGGGCAGCCATGAGCCCAAAAAAGAGAAAGGATGCAAAAGTGCTTTAGAAGCTGGGGTGTAGCTCAGTGATAGAGCACTTGCCAAGCATGCACGAGGCCCTGGGTTTTATCCTCAGCACAGCAAAAAAAAAAAAAAAAAAATGCTTTGGGACTGGTGGCATGAGTTCTTCCCATGACTATCGGGTAAATGAAGACTGTACACAGCTGTGGCAGGTTGGGACCCCAGAAGGACTAAGAACACAATCGAAGTCTGTGCAGAGCCTCACACACCTTCCAGGTGACTGCTGCTCACCTATCGCTTCAGTTCCTATTAAGTTATTGTCCTACCTTTGCTCTACTGTCACCACTGTTACTGAGCTCAGAAGTCCTACTGCTGGGCAGGAGCTTCCAATTACCCCAAAAGCAGCTCTGTGGTAGCTTGGCTCAGTTTGCCAAGGTGGCTCCATCTCTCCAGCCTCCCAGATATCCCCAGGGGCTGCACCCCACCCACACACTCACACTTAATGATGGTGCAGTCTTTGGCAGCAGAGAAGATGGCCAAGTCATCAGGGGTGATGACCAAACATGTGATGGAAAGCTGATGGCCCCGTAAAACTCGAATGTCGGTGGGGGCTGGGGCCTGGATCTGGGAAGACGGGCCAGGTCATTGCTGCTGAGGGCATGGAGGCATGCTCCACCCACACGCATGCCCAACACCATCCTTTCCCACCCTCCTAGCCAGGACCCAAGTCTGCAAGGATGAGACTCTTACCTAACCTGACCTTACCTGCCCAAGTGTCCATAGCAAAGACCCCACAGCCTGAGTCCCTTCTGGGTCATATGCCCACCAACCCAAGTGGGGCCACCAATTCCCTCTAACCTCAAACAAAGTGCTCTGCCCACTCACCTCCTTTGCCACTGACTTCTGCAGCCTGCCCCTCTGCTCCAGCTGCATGGAGAGGGGAAGAGAGGCATGAGGTCCTGGCAAAAGGACCAGACCCTCCTCCCCCACCACACATACACCCTCCTGTCACACTTACCACATCCTCTTTCAGGCGCCCCGCCACCTGGTCCTCCTCAAATTCACGAGCCTCAGCCTTCTCCTCCTCTGTGAGGGACAGAGCAGTCCACGTAAATAACCCAAGGCTGAGGTTTCCTTTTTCCTTCCCATCCCATCCCCACCCCTCCACCCCGGGCCCTGAATGCTTGGCTGTGCCCTGCAGGAAGTTCAGGCTGCCTCAGAGAAGGGAAGGCTGGATGGTCTGCTGCTCTTAGGCCTGTCCCAGGAGGCACATTAGAGCTCCCAGCCATCCACCATGAGTAGCCAGCACTAGTAGCCCTGGCAGCCAAGGGATCTGTGTGGGTCACCTGTCAAGTGGCTGGGGCTGCAGGAGGGGAGCAGGCAGGCTTCAGCCCCACCTGGCCTGCACACAGCTCACCTTGCTGCCTGAGCTGTTCAAGGTACAGCTTGGCCAAGCGCAGCTTCTTCTCCTGCACAGTCTCCTCCAGCTCTTCTTCCTCCTCTTCCTCAGTTCTCTTTGGAGCCAGGCTATAGGCAGGAAGGGGCAGTGTAGGCAAGATGCCAAATCACACAGGCATGGCCCCACTGCTGGCTCCGACAGGGCAGGATCTAAGAGGTTCACCCACCTCCTCTGGTCACTAGGACTGTGCTTCCTCAACGCTTTCCTGCCAGTCAACACTCCCCATCCCTGCCAGTCCCCAGGGCCAACGATTACAAGTTCAGAAAAACTAAAACATGTGACTTACAAAACTGAAAGACCCCATGTAGTGCCTGGCATAAGTGTGAAAACAGACCCTAAACCCAGAGATCAGTGTTAGATCTCGCAACTCTGGGAGAAAGAAGATTCCACAGGCTTCCAAGAGAAACTAAGTTGTATATAAAGAGTCAGAAATCAAAGTGGCTTCAGATATCTCAGTAGCAACACTGGGAACAAGAGGATGAAGGAGTCTCTTACACACAACTCTGAAGAAAACATCAATCCCTGAATGCCCTGACCAGTCAAAACGTATCAATAACAAAGAAGATATTGTCAGAGGTGTAGCTCAGTGGTAAGAGCATGTGCTTAGCATGCATGAGGCCCTGGGTTCGATTCCCAGCACACACACACACACACACACACACACACACACACACACACACACACACAAAAGGATACTGTCAGAAATGCAAGGTAACAAAGAATTGGTCCTTTCTCCCTTTATAGGAAGGATACAGAATGTGCTTCCCAAAACAAGAGGATAAACTAAGAAAGAAGGCGGCTCAGGTTACCAGAAACAGGGGATTCAACACTGAAGAGCAGAAAAGGCACATCTGCATTGAAGGCAATCTGATCTGTCCAATCAGATCCAAGGACCCAAGAGGCAGACTCGCTGCCAAGGCACCACCATTCTGTACTCTGAGACCAGGTTCCAAGTGAATCCTAATAGGTTTGAGCTTGGCCTTATGCTGGTGAAGTTCCTGCTGTTCCCCCCGGAGCCCCAGACCCTGTGCCACCGAGGGCACTCACCTCTCTGCTCTGACCTGCTCCTAGGAGCTGGAGGTAGGTCACAGGAACTCTGAAGCAGAAAACCAGTGCAGACCACTCCCTCCGACCATGTGTCTGCAGACATCTAGTCTCTGTCCAGTACCCCAACATGTTTCCCAGCACTCACTCATGATGACCTTGCTCATGACTTCCCTACAAGGGACCATGAAAACTCTCAAGAAAGCCCACATCAAACCATGCCCCAGAAACCACTTAGTGATCAGTGCCTGGCAAGCCACTGGCCTCCTTTACACAGCACCAAGGGTGGGACTTCTACTGAGTTTACCCTCAGTCTGTTGTTTAAGGATCCACGCACAGGAGGCACAACTCTGAAGAAAAATAAATGAGTATATACTGTATGATTCCATTCATAGAAAGTTAGGGACAGTGATTAGCAGGGACTGGGACAAGGATTGACTACAGAGTAGCAGGGGGAGACTGTGGGGTGGGAGGGAGAGGGATCCTTTTATATCTTCGTGGTGGCCGTGGCCGTAGCTTCACAACTGTGTGCTTGCCAAAACTCACAGACAATACAGTAGAAAAGGTGACTGCTACTAAGAAGATTTTTCTTAAGTTTAAAAGAGAGAAAACCAAAAAATGATTAGCTAGAGTCAGGAATGATAGCTGGACCTCTAAGTTTTTTCTAGTTCTTAACCTAAGTGGTAGGTGTACAGAGATTCACCACTTTATCATTATTTTCTATATACAAATACACTTCATTCACTCTTCTGTAGCTGATACCTTTCACAACACAAGCACAGTAACCTTAAGATTAAGAAAACTCTTTAAAAATTAAGCGAGGCTCGTGGTTTTACACCTGTTATCCCAGCTACGCAGGAAGCTGAGATCCAGAGGATCTCAATTTGAGGACAGCCTGGGCAAAAAGTTAGCAAGATCCCATCTCAACCAATAAAATGGGAGTGTAGTACACATCTGTCACCCCAGTTACTCAGAAGGCGTAAGAAGAAGAATTGAGATCCAATCCTTTGGCTGGGCCAAAGCAAAATATACAAGACCCTACCTGAGGACAAAAAGGCTCAAGTGGTGGAGCACCTGCCTAGCAAGTTTGAGGCCCTGAGTTCAAATTCTGGTACTGTCAAAAAAATTAAATCTTTCAGTGAGCAAGTTAGGGCAACACATACTCAACTTTAGAACAGAATTTCTAGGTCTAAATCATAAGGAAGGCACTAGGATTCCCTGGAATAACAGCCTCGACCGCACAGGGATGATACCTGGCCCTTTGAAACCCTGCATCCACCCCCATCACCTGCAGAAATGAGGGAGGCATTCTGGGTGCACCTACCACCTGCCCTTCCATCTTTCCACCTCCCGTTCTGCACATTACACCCAGACTTCTCCTCTCCATGACACCCCGACTCGCAGGAGGTCTCAAGGGTCTCCCATTGGGACCTGGGGTTCTCCCCAGGGCCAAGGAAGAGGAGAGACTTCCGAGGCCGTAAGTTAGAGGAAAGAGCCACGATCTGAGGGCCAAAGGCCAGAGTCTTTGAGTTGAGTTTCTTCCATTCAACCTGGGCCTAGAGTTTCCCGCTACAACTGGTGAAAACGGCCA